AAATAGGATGGATCCATTTTTTAACAGATAACTATGAAGAAGCCACCAAATTAACTTTGTATGCTATTGACATGTACGATGGAAGTGCACTTTGTTTCTATCGTTTAGGTAGAATATATTGGGCCATGGGAGGTAATAATCCTATTTAAATTAATATTTTAATATAATGAAGACTTAATTGATTTTGTTTAACAGATCAATACCGTAAAGACAAGAACCACGCATATGCACAGTTCATTCAGTCAGTAAAACTTGACCCACACTTTGCAAAATCGTTTACATACCTCGGACATTATTATCGAATTATCGAGAATGATCATGTGCGCGCAAAAAAATGCTATCAAAAAGCATTTTCGATTGATGCTCGTGATGAGGAAGCAGGGTCGGAATTAAGTGAATATTTCCAATCGGAGGGTGAAGAAAATATTGCAGAGGGTATATATCGTACTGTAATTAAAGCAAATTGTAAGGCCGGATGGGCGTGGAAGCGACTAGGGTTTGCGGAGTTGGTAATATAGATTTGTATATCGTAGTGAACTGACTAAAAATACTAGTTACAACCCATAGGATTTTTATATCAATCAGTTGCGGTTTTTTTCAGAATTATTGGTTATCTATTATAAATGATATACTTTAAAATTTTATTTATGATAACTGTAACTCTTTTGCTGTACAAATATTTTAAGTTTTGCTCGGAATTTGTCTTAGATCCTAATAAGCCTTTTAGTCATTGCGCTACGGCAATTCTATTGATCTCTAAGTTCTTTTAATATATGAATAATTTAAATTTCTCAAAATGTAGGCTAAAGGAAATTATTTAGAAGCAATAACAGATTTCCAGACCGCTTTGAGAACTGATGCTAAGGATATCCGTTGCTGGGAAGGCCTTGCAGAAGCTTATCGTCGTGAAGGTCGATATACGGCATCAATGAAAGCTTTTTTACGGGCAACAGAGTTGGATCCTTCATCAGTATATGCACATTATCAGATTGCTACAATAAAGCAAAAATTGGGCATGTATAATGATGCAATCATCCAATACAATTTGACTCTCGAAAAAGCGGAGTCTAAAGGTGAACATAATCACATGCCGTCGTTAGAGGGTCTTGGGGATTGCTATTTGTCTTTATCCAAGGAATATTTTCACACCGGATTTTATGGTTGTGCAGCTGAATCATTAGGTCTTGGTATCGCAGTAATAGCACGTGCTATAGAGACAAACAGCAAATATCAGTGTTTCTGGAAATTAATCGGTGATTTTTGCACCATCTCGACGTCATTGCCAAATTATTTATATTTGATACCCTTGGCTCTGATTAAAAGTCTTATCGGAATTGCCAAACAACTGGATGTAGATGCTAAATTACATCTTCCCAAAGATATTGATAATATTGAGCTTAGCCTAAATTCTGATGGAGCCAGTTTAATAAATTCTGATAGGCTTCGAATCATTTTAATTTGTGGCTGTCTTTCATACAAATACGCCATAATATTAAGTAGAAATCGACCCGATACTGCTCCTGCATTGTGGTATGATCTGGGTGTGGCCTATTATAAGTCGTATGAACATTATTCTAAAAATATTGGAGAAAATATAGATAATCATATCTACGAAACATCAGCAGCAAATTATTTGAGTGTTGGAATTAGGTGTATGAAGATAGCATTGAAATTTGAACCAACGAATTTCCAATTTTGGAATTCGCTTGGCATCATGACTCTTTTGGCAGACACCAAAATTAGCCAACACGCGTTCATTAAGGCAATTGAATATTCTCCAAAAGTAAGTTGTGTGAATTTTATTGTTGAAACCTTGTTAAATAATGTGATAGTAACTTTATTCACATTAATTCATAGAGCCCCGTTCCGTGGACAAATCTCGGGCTCCTATATTTGTTACATTCCGATTTAGACCTTGCCAATCAAGCATTTTCAACGGCTCAATCCCTTGATCCGGATTATGCGCCTGCATGGGTTGGACAAGCTTATGTCGCAAATCTATGGGGAAGTAATGAGGCTGCTGAATTGTTTGAACATGCTTATGAAATTAGTGGTGGTGGTCATTCGGTATGTTATCAGTTTCATGCAATTTAATCTGATTATATTAATCTGCTTATTAATCACGAATCTAATCTTTTATAGCTCGAAGCGGATTATGGTTTTGCATATCAGGCATTTACACGCTACAAAAATTCGCCATCAATACACAAAAATTTGTTAATGTCACCCACTTTTGCATTACAAAAACTTTCAGAACAAAGACCGGATGATGCAGCATCATTAAATTTATTAGGCTTATTATTTGAACGGCTTAATCGACCAGATAGAGCTGTTGATGCATTCACTGATGTGATCGTTGCAATTAAAAAATCAATTCAAAAGGAACAGCAGTCAGCAACATTACATAAAGATTCGCAGGAAAAATCACTATCAAACCTAACATTATTATTGCGAAGGCTTGCATACGCGCATGGAAATCTTGGGAGAGTACTATGTGCAACACGTAATTTCTCCGATTCAATCACGGCATATACGGAAGCTTTGGAATTAATTGAGCAACAAGAGAATGGTTCATCAACTTCAATTATATCGTTTAGAATATATACAATGTTAGGAACGGGACTTGCTTATTATTTTAACGATGAATTAGAAAATTCTCTTCAAATGTTTGAATCTGCTCTCAACGCAGCTGATAATCCTGAACAGGAATCAAGCGTTGCAGAAATTAAGAATGATGTGGTTGTTTTAGTATCACAAGTACTTTGGGCATTAGGTGGTGTCGAGCATAAAAACTTGGCAAAAGAAGAATTGTTTAGATGGTCGGTCATGATTTATTTAATATTTTATTGCATACTTTATAAGTGTATTAATATTCATTAATCTCGGTACTTAATAGTATTTCACAAAATCCACAACATCTTCCTGCTATATTTGGTCTGTGTGCTATAGGGCTATTGCAAGGTGATGATACTCTAGCTACTGCAGCATTAAAAGAGATGGTTAAATTACCTATTAAAGTTGTTGGTAAGAATTTATGTTGGTTGGTTGGTTATATTGTCGATATCCCTAAATGCAGGCTCTTTGAAATAATGCAATTGCATTTAGATCCTGCACATATAAGTAATTAGACTAACTCTAGCATGCCTATCGCATGCATGTGCAGTGTGCATTATTGAGGAGCATTTAGGGAGATCTGGCTATGCTATTCCCCAAAAACATCATCACTATATTTTATACATACCCGAAATAAGTATCCCTATAATTCATTATATTAATAAGTTTTACTAAGAAATTCTCCCTTAAGCCTCTATTAAAAGTTGTGATGTTTGGGGAATATATATTATTTCTGGTTTGTTGTTACTGTACAAGCGCGAAATAACGCGCAGGGGCGTTATTTTGAAATTTGGCCCGAATTAAACTTAATTTAAACCAAAATTTGAAATTAAATCCCTGCGCGTTATTTGCGCTTGCATGGTAAAGATTAGTGATCCAAATTGTGCAATACATGCCAGAGGGAAATTTAAGACACTACTTAAAAAAACAAGAACAAGAACCAAAAAATGCAATCGATTAGTTGGCCAAAAATTTTAAAAAAGTTGAATAAAAATCGATTATCATTTACTAATCGATTAATATCAATTAATTGATTAGTCAATTAATCGATTAATTAACTAATCGATTAGTTGATATATCTAAATATCTTTTAGAATTCTAACTAAAATCTCTAATTATAATAATTAATATTTTTATATTAAAAATAACTAATCGATTAATCAATTAATCGATTAATCATCATCAATCGATTGGTTGTTGTTTAACAAAATTATCAATCGATTAGTTGCCAACTTGATCAACTAACCGATTAATTGATTTTCGATTTGGATCACTAGTAAAGATATTCAAATAGCAGTTAATTTATTGAAATTATTGTCTTAAATCAAGATAAATTGGACAAAGGACGTGACATAGATTTCTTGTATAGTAGATACTTCTTGCTAAAGGTGAACAATCTATACTTACTTGCTCATACATATTATAAATCTATTGCTTAATCAATTTTTTTCTTAGGATTCACCCGAAGAAGCTACACAATCTCTTTCTAAATCAACTCTCCTTAGACCTCATGAACTAATCAATTGGACATGCTTATCAAATCATCTTATATCTCTTTCGATACCATTTACTTCTACTTCAATAGCTGGTTCCGCAATGGAATTAATATCAAACCCATTGTCTTCCTTATCTAGACAATTGTCAACTAAAGAAAAAGCAAAGGTATATCAAAACTATGCTTCGTCTTTGTTGATTTCTAGACGAGCTTTTAAGCAAGACTTAGTTATAACGGGAAAAGATGTAAAAGATAGCGTTTTAATTAAAGAACCATTTGATAATAATGAGGATGATGGCTCCAAAGATAGAAAAGGCAAAGAAGGCAATAAGGATAAAACGGGAATCCATAAAGATTTAAAAGTTAAATATGAAAAACTTAGGTTAGAAGCATTAGAAATTGCTCAACGAGCTGTCAGAATTGCACCATGGGATTTGGTTGGATGGTCTTTACTTGCCATGGCTTATAAAGAGAGTGTATAAATTATAAAACGTTTGAACATATTTTTGCAGTATAATATTTTTTTCTAATGAATATCTTTGGATTACATACACTAAATTATTGAAGGTGTTTGGACTATTAATAAAACTTTTAAAAAATTTACTGAGTTGTTTGCTGTACTAAGAGTTCATTAGTAAATTCCACTATTTGACATTGTATACTTTGTGAACTGAATAATACCTAATACCTGGAGAACCTTATATAAACCAAGTCATATATACTTAGGATTTTATGAAATATAAAACAATTACAAATTTACTATTTAAAAATTTTTTTCACTTGTTATATGGAGGCTGCGATCTAAACAACTTTTTGAATTGATGAATTTTATGATAAAAACAGAAATAACAAATTAAAACTATTAAAATCAAAAATTTTAGTTATTTGCTTAGCGTCTTCAAATCATATTAAGAGGTTTTCTTTTTTTATTTCGATTTAATAAAATATTATTCTATAATAAAAATTTTTGTGCAAATAAAATGATAAATGAAAAAGTAAACTTTCTATGCAAATTTATATTTATTATTACTCTAATTCTGAAATATTACTAAAACAACTATGATAAGATTTCAAACTCTTAAAACTGATCTGCCTTGATGGTTCCGGCCTTTTTGGCATTACATTATTATTAAAAGGATCATCGTGCTCATCATAATTTTCTTTAAATGTCCCATTATAATTCATATTACATTCATCTACACAACTCTCAAGTTCGGATTCATTAAGCTTACTCCCTTGTAAAGTTTGATCAGATGAAATTGCTGTAGCTTTTGAATTAATAGTATCTGAAGACTGTTTGTTACGAACAGCAGGGAAAAATCTGCTACCATTTATGGCCTTTATTAATCGAAAGTCAATTCTTTTATCATGTGATAACGAGTCACCATTACCAACGGTGGAGGACGTTGCTGATAGATGAGTAAATGTTGGTCCATTTGGTGTTGGGTTATATGTGCTATTATTTTATGTATAACTAATAATTTAGTAAAGATGATAAATTATAAATCTCAAAATGATAAAAATTTTTAGGGACTTACTTGTAAATGAAAACAGCTTGTGTGATGGAAAGTAAAATAGGAAAAGAAAAATACCAAACGAATAAATAAAATAAGTCTATTCCAGAAATGAATATTGTAATGTTATGTTGCCATAATCCATATGCGAAAGCCATTATAGTGTACGACCCATTTGCTATTACGAACGTTGCTGCTATTATTGACAACTATTAAATTAGAGAGAGAATGGAAGTATATATATAAAAATGGAATAAATAAATACATTCGGGTATAAAACATAAATAAATATATGTATATATGCACTTTTTTCTTATTAATTAGCCTACATTCTTGATAGCCCTTACAATCATTTTTACTTTCCATTCGACGTCATAATCACCAGATTGTTGTCGTTCTTTTAATTCTCTCATATGTAATCGAAGTATTAAGCTCAATTTATACCAGAAATAAACGACAATTGTAACGTAAAAGCATCCCCAAGCAAACCAAATTAAATAGTGAATTTTGAAATATTTATTTGCTAACAATGTCGCATTCTCTCTGGTGACCATTGAATCGTGAGTTTCAGGTAAGAAAGAACCTGAAGATGATAATGGAGGAGCACCACGATCAGCATAAAAACCCGTCATGTAGGTTATTGGAAGTATTGTTATGAACGGGCCGAATATTAATGTGAAGCCTATTCCATCAACGAAGTATTTACTAGGAATCCATCTTACTGTACGAGTGCCTATCGTTGGAGTAGAGTATACTTTTTGTGGGATGATATATGCGTATGAAATGATGGTTTGTAGATACATACTAAGAATCACGAAATAAAATTTAAAATTTTACATCCTTGTAATTGAAGTAATAAGAAATCTATACCAATGCTAACTGGTAACAACACAGCCAATCCAAATCCAATCATTCGTGGTATATCTTGACCAACTGTCCACCAATACACAAGTTAATAAATATTTAAAAAGTAAAACTTTGAATTTCTTAAATACGTACTCTCAGCTGTTATGGTGTTTGGATACATTGATGTTATTAATAGGATGATGTGAACAATTTGCGCTATTTCAATAGAAATGAGTATAATGTTATATATTTGCAAAAAAAAATTCTAGAGTAGAAAACTTGTAGAAAATTTGATGGCATAGAATTAGTATCATGAAAGAAATGCTTACAAGATCCATAAACAACTGTAATGATATGAAAAGCATCTTGAGGTCTAGGTCTAAGAATACCTCTATTTCGTGTAGGAGCAAACCATACTGGTTGCTTTCTTATAAAAATCCTCGAGTATATAAAACATCCACTAACCAGAATGTTTAAAATAGTAATCGCCAACAAAACATAATACATATTAAGAATGGTTTTTGATTCAGGACATCCATATGCATTGATACGAAAATCGCATTTACAATCATTTTGACGTAACGTTAATGTGAACGAAAATGTATTAGAGGCATTTGTATTTCCAAGAGTGAGGGCATCAAGAGCAGGTTGATCTTCCAAACATACTAATGCAAAGTTGTTTATTAATCGTACCATTATTGAAATAGTGCTAACGAATGTAAAAAAAAAATCAAATAATAAAAGAATATATTAATTTAAGCTCTATAGTTTATAAATCATGGCTTAATTCTGAATATTGAAACGTAAACTGGTTTGAGAAACCGACATATATAATAAAATGGTGTAAATGTAAAAAAAAAAAAAAAAAAAAAAAAAAAAAAAAAGAACGTTGTATGATCAAATACTGAAATAGCTTACATTTAAAAAATATATATTATTAGGTAATAATACTCTCCATCAAAATTGTTAAGGAGCATGGGGCACAACCGATTAGAAACCTCCTATTAGTTAAATGCGCTATATAATTATTCTTTTGCGTAATCATTGGATTTTTCCGACTTAAAGCCATATTTCCGAGTAGAGTAAATTTTTTTCTTTTTCGTTTCGTCATGCAATTACTTAATCGGATCTGTTTAACATAAACGCTTTTTAAGCGCTTGTAATACAATTACGTAAATTCATCAGAACTTTTCGTTACTGGATTAAGCGCAAATATTTGATGTTATAAACATCGTTCTCGGGTATAAGAAATTCTTTACATATTCGTACGTACGTGCGTGCGCAAAAATCTCGTTTGTTACATGACGATTGAGACGATCACAATGATTTACAATAACATAACACAATTTTCCTTAACGCGCCAACCTAGATTCTATTACATAATGACAACAATAACGTATTTCATTACAAGAGGTGCAAGATTTGTCAATCAATTCTAGGAATGATTCTACAAATTCGAAAATTTCAAATTAAAAATATTATCAGATTAAAAGAGGAACGATAACATCACTGTTATTTCTTTCTGAAGTTAGTCATTTTAAAAAAAATTACAGAGGTTTTTTTGCACATGATTTAGACCAATAACAATAATACGTATTAGATTTTATTTTATTATATTTATTATTTCTAAAACAATACAATCTATTATATATGGTAACTCTAGTGCACAATTGTGATACTTGGATTCACTAACCACATGAACCCGCGGCAAGTGTGGTGAAATTTTTTGCTCGTTATGTTGTATGTTTACTAATCTTAGTAAATCTACATAACGACACTTTCTAAATTTATATAACAAATCAATAGGTCTTCTATTCATCTATATATAAGAGAATTTGATTTATTTGAGTTATTACTGATAAATTAAAATTAGATTTCATATTATTGAACTCAAATTTTGAGCGAAGACTTCTAACATAAACTAGAATCCTGATAATTATTAAATGTTGTTTTATTTAATCATAAATTTAAGAGTTCGAATTTTGAGGTGTTCTTTATTTTTGTGTTAGACTAAGATCATAGGGTGGATGTGGAAATATGCATTACTATTGTTATTTTTGAATTCTTTCTACAATGCGTTGTTTGCATTAGTATGTTTACTTTATGCACCATTTCGTTATGTGGCTATGTATATTTCTAGAAATAAAGTTATGTAAAGCATTATTTTGCATGGAAGCTTTATTACCCCTAAAACGCCAATGTTTAAGTAGTATGGTTTTCTTTTTAAACTTTCATTTTACTAACTTATATAACAAATTTTGGCTGACGGTCTTTATTTAAATCGTATCGGTATAGACCAATCATCATAATGTATTGTTCGATCAAATGATTATCGCTTACCGCTTTTTAATTTACATAGCAAGAATATTACAGCCATTAGAAAATATTCTAAAGATGGATAGTAATTGTAATTTTACAAAATTATTAAGTTGTCAAATTATTTATATTTAAAGTTTAATAGAAAATTATTTTTACTATAAACCATTTAAAACTAGAGAAATTAACATTAAAAATATTGAAATCAATACGTATGATATAAAAGCCTCAATTGATGTGTGTGCACAACTCGTTGGGGTTTTCCATATACTAATTAATCAAGGTATAATAGTAAAAATTGATAGTACAGATTTTTACGACAATACCTCTTGTTATTTAGCCAATAAAATTGTGCACA